CAGAGTTATTCATAGGATAACTTAAACAAATTAAAATTACAGTTGTATGAACAAAATAGTTCATTTGTTTAATATTTATATTCAGTCAGGTTATAATTTACTTCATGGATAATTTTTTTCTGACGATTGAAAAATGGGCCCTAAAGAATGTACTGAATACAAATCGGCAAATATCCTAAAACCATGATTAACAAATACAAAGACAACAACAGGAAATGGTATAAATATCACAGTTACGATGATATTTACAATGTCATAGGTTTTATTGCATTAAACGCTTTATATTGCAAATTCTAGCTTCGATCGGCTTTCCTAAGTTGCTTTTATACAATGTTGAAAAACGAATTCTTACGTTTAGTTTGTACCAGGGTCTCGACCAATAATGTAAATATATAATATGTCACAACCAATTATTTGGTCAACCAGCCGCTTAGCATTCGTCTAAACGTTAAACCTTTTAGTCGAATCACAATGACGTGTACAACGTTCCTTTGGCTGAAGGCTGCATCAGGAGACACCGAGTCTAAAGTTCTTCTTTGATGACGTTTTGTCCCCTGCAGTCCTTTCTTATAATTGATAATATGGATATGAATGCATGTGAATAAACCTATGAAACTTAAATTATTCACATAATTTTAAACTGATCGATGACTTTCCACAAAAGGAATTTTTTTCCACAAAAGGTTAGTGATTTATTACCCTCGTAAACTGAGATGATTTCGATATTAAACGTGACATTAGGCGAATTGGCGAAGCTGTCTTTATACATTCAATGAGGACATCCGTGACTGCCATCAGCAACCAGGCACGACTTTGGAATAAGGCGAAATATTTAACAGATTTAATGGCGGGGAAGTTAATTTTTTAGAAAAGTGTAAGCACTAAGTAATGTTTCTTTTTGAAACATTTTTTCTTTTAATTAGATTTGAAATGAATAAACCAAACTACGGAGAATACTAAATCTGGGAGAGTAAAAAAAGTTAAAAGTGTGTGAAAATCCAAGAACACACCACTGAGGCATTGTTGTACATATTTAAGCCAATCAAATAACTAAGTGGTTTAACACTTACTCTGTTCGATTTAAAGACACGATAGTAAGACAATAGCAATGACCCATATGTGGGTCACGAGGCAGTGAAAGTGTTAAACCATAGGGCTGCGACATATTATATACGTATATGAGCAAATGACATAAGAAAAGTAAATCGCTACCAAAATTGCCAAATAATATAATTTCCAAACAGTTATTGCTATCTTACGTGGCATTCGCTTATAAGCGACTCTTGTGATTGTAACAGGTAAAATTTAGCAAAAAAACCTATCACTACATACACACAAACATATACTTAACTGGCAGTTTCATTTGCACAAAGAACACCATATATCCCTTTTCACACAGACATGTGTTAATGTCCACACTTCTACAACTGTCAACTGAGTGCTACACGCCATGTTTAATGTCGTTATTGGTCCACAGTAATTAACTAAGTGCTTAAAAGGCTTGTGTAAACAGACTCCGTATGTAAAGCATTAGCATTACGTTGCGTTGCAAAATTGTCACCATCATCATCACAAAGCCCACTGCTGAACATTACCTTCCCCCCCCCCCCCACCAACCCACCCCTCAGAAATGGCACATAGCACGGTCCTGAACCACCTGCATCACAAAAATGTATCTGCCGTCCTCAGAGTGCAGTAAGGGTAAAGGGGAGAGCGTTTTGAGAAAATTAATGCACTTTGAAATCTAGTTTATCCTTTGTAACGTCTAAATTTATTTCTTTCCAATGACATAATAAAATAAGGAATGGGATTTCAAACGGAATTCATCAAAACAATCCCAAACAAAAACCACATTGATAAAAAAATAATAATAATCAAGCTATATTAAATACTGCACAGGAAGGCAGATATAATCGCTAGCAAAAATCTTTGTTAGATGTCTTCCGGGCTAGTTTGAACTTGGCAATTTCATTAAATGTCACTAATTTGTTTTGCACTAAGTTTCTATTCCGCGTATATTTTCCACTTTTCCTTCCTCTTAACGCAATTCAAATATCAGCTTTCACTTTCTAAAATCACGTGTGTTCCATGCATCCTTTCAATGAAATTGTTTGAAGCAAACATTCGTTAAGACTAAACGATTGTTGCTCCAAACAATTCAATAGAATTGCAACATTATACATTATTCAGAATAGTTTTGTGTAGGGTGGAGGAGTAGGCAGTAATGGAGGCCCTTCACCAATAATCTCCCCACTGTATTTCAGCATCTCATTGCATTTAATAGAGAGGGAACCTTCACCGGCATTGTACATGGTGCTGAACTATGAGCTCAGATTATTAGAACTATCTCAACATGCAAACAATGCTGGGGATGAAGATGATGATTTTGATGCTGATGGTACCAACCCATTACACAATTATGATTCATACCACAAAATGATGAGAGATATGCAAGCGATGTATTCGGCGATAAGTCAAGACCGGTGATTGCATCCGGATCCAGCAGACGAAGTAGATGATGAGACCTTTATTTTGACGTAGAAGAGTTTGATGAAGTTTCAGGTGAGGAAGAGTTCGTAGATGCCGAAGAATTTGAAGCTAATCCAGCCGAGCGGATGATACAACTGTGTTTAGACGTCTCTCACTACCAAGATCACAATCTTGGTAGTAACCAATCACTTGAAATATAGTATAGTTACTATTTCGCAATGTAGACCACTCATTATGTACGAATTTTCAGTCCCATAAAAAAATCATGTTCTTTTATATCTACGTTATTATCGTGTATTATCGTGCGACCAGCGAAACGAGCGGGTATCAGCTAATTCCTAATATCTTTAACAACTTTTCATAGTTGCGCGGGTAGAACAAAGTTGTAAGACGCCAGGATGAAATATAATATATAGAGTATCGAGTGATATTTAGTAGTGCTTCCAGACATCTGGATGTTTCACGGTCCCATTCCAATGCACAGAAACTTAAACATTATATAGAAGATATTACGTTGTATAAAGATTGATAACTGTCGACAAAGTGGAATCATGATCCACTGGTTATTCACAAAACATGTCATTATGATACACCTTACACATCACATGCTTGGCAACTCGGATGATGACTCGACACCGTTGCTAACATTTTAAACTCCACCGGCCTTGCTTAACTAATTGAATACAATAATTTCACTCATAATATTAGTCTCTCTACTAAATACAATTAGCAATGTTCACAATGGCTGATGTCAAAAAAATGCCTTAAAATTGCACAAGAACTTCCTGCTTGAATAAATTCATGCTCTGTTCAAGTAAATTAGTTCACAATTTTTGCTTATTTGATCAAATGGTCACAACATTGTTGCCGACAATTAAAGTTTTATAATTTATATTTTTCTGTCAAAATTATTTTATTTTGAACATTAGTAATATCACGAGATTGGCAGTGCAATGAGTCCGTCCATCCAAGTGTTTGGCAGTCCGTCCAATTAATGCTAGCATTTTAAGTTTGTCCATTTTGTTTATTTTATTAAGAATGCAGTTTATTCACATTTGGTTGGTTGGATGCAATTTATATAATACGTGCTGGCAATATATCGAGCTGCACAACTGCCTTGAGGTACTTTCACATTAAAGCTTTACGAGAGCATTAACAAATTTGTCATTATTTCAGTACCAATAGTTACTTAATTATATTACAGAATTTAAGTAATTGAAGTATTAGACTAAAAAGTGTAAGTTATACGTAACAAAATCATCGTTGAGAATCGTCCCATGGTTGTATAGATTAAAAAAGAAAAACTGGATCATAAAATCACATCATGAAAGTTAACATAAAAATAACTGCGCTACCAAAGATGACCTACTAAATATAAACATGGATATTTTCACAGATTGACCATCAATACTGGAGCTTCTTTTGAACATGATCAATAGAACTATATCTTCTATTTTTACACACTATATTGTTTATTATAAATATCAACGTTTGGTTGTTAATTCAGAAGTTGGGATTTTGTATATACCTACATTCATTTTATGTACATATTAATAATCATACAATGCCAGGCTCAATAAAATATATAAAACAAACGCATCAAATTCACCTACCACACAAATATGCTTGGGTTTGTAAACGTATTTGAAGGTGTAAATCTTATAAAATTGTTTAAAGCATAAATGGTTATTTTGTATGTAGTACTATTTATTGTACATTGTGTTGTGAGCTTAATATTGCTTAATATTGCTTAATGCTTCTGAACAATGATCAGGGAATTATACATTAATTTAGCTAAGCGGCGCGGTGTTACATGGCATCACTCCATGTTTGGCCTATGGTACTAAAAATTCTTAAATGCTTGGTCTGTATGGTACTTGATAAAAAGGGTTCTATTTAAGCAGACCGATATCAAAAACTTCAATCTTGATGACCGGATGTTCTTTCTTCATCACACTGTTTTATTTGTAGCCACGCGAACGGCAAAGTGCCCTATCAATAATACCCTACGTTATTTTCGTTATATCATATCAAATCTATACTTTTTGAATAGCATTAATTTAAAGGTATTATTATGTTAAAGGTAAGCACTTGTTTGGCATGAACTGTAATTTATATATAATATGTAATTGATAGTCGGTACTCAGAGTGGATAAATTCAGATGCACATTAGATACATTTAGATACAATATACGGCCTTGTTGATGTTTTTCTTTTTTAATGACAATAGAAAGTGACAAGTGGGTATTGAGACATTTAATGCTCAATTCAAGCGAGCGATAACTATCGATTATAAATAAGAGCATAGGTTTACTGTTAGTCGACAATGACAAACATCAGAAAGAGATAGATAATGATGTAATAGCACGCAGAGTTGGTAATAACGCCGTCTATAGGAAGACATAAGTTCTTATTGGTTTATTTTGTAGTCACCTACCACGGACGAGATGAATTGGGTTGATGGATGGTCAACGTTTATCAAGTATGAGCGGTTTTAAGTGCAATGTGTGTCACGAGTGGTCCAGCGGCGGCGCGCCGGGCCCGCCCTGCAGCTGCTGCGCCGCGTGCGGCAGGATGTTGATCTGCACCGGCATCTGCATGTTCGAGCTCGTCGGAACCTGCCCACCAACGCTTTTATATACAACCTCAGACAAACAAACAAACAAACAAATAAACTTGGAATGCTTGGGTGTATTTCAAGTAATGTGTCAAACCAAGTCAAAACCGTACTGTACTGAGTTGTGCAAAAAGATTTTAACTATAAACGTAAGCTTCAGTTCACAGTTATTACTCTATATTTAAATAAAAATAAACTAAAATTGCACTTGTTCTCTTTTGTTTGAAACAACGAATTAATCAACTTAAAAAATTCCTATTCCAGTCCTCAGCACTAGTTCATTCAAACATGATTATTAACAGCGCAAATTACATTTTCAATTGTGCCAAATACACCGCTCATTATTTTGTATGCTCCCCCAACAAATCACGCGCGAAGCCGGGGCAGTCGCTTACAAAAAAATAAAATCTGCGTGACAAATATAACTATGAAGCAAAGCATGCAGCAGGCCAATGCACAGCACTGGAAGTACTTTTTATAGGCTGCAACAGATAACGGACTGTTGTATAACTTGTGGTCGCTAGGGGACGAAATTCGACCGAAAGTCTACGGTCTGAACGTAAACAACCAAAGTTTCATTTAATTTTATGTATTTTTTAGTACATATTGTAAATAAATTCTAGTTTTCTGCACTTCTTTTCAACAAAAACTTAAATTATGACAAATATCAAACACCTCCGCGTGCGCGCAACATTAAACATATAAAAGAGGCACAAAGTTTTCCCATCACATATATAATATGTCGAATACTCACGTGTATAGTAATCTCAGGCATCATGGAATTGTTGGTGGTTGCCGTTGGTTTAACATCACCCTGGTCGTGGTTCGCTTCGTCGCGCGCTCGTTTACTTTCATGCGAGCGAGCGTGTTTGCGCAGATGGTCTTTCCGGTAGAAACCTAGGGGCAATGGAATGCAACAGTTGAATTAATTAAATAGACTAATAGGTAGAAATACTCCTACCACCTAGTAAATGGAGGCATTTGAGCGAGGGTTAGTGTGCATGTGTAGTGACGGTGTAAGCATATACACTATCCCATGTCATCCCGTAGGTGTCGTAAGAGGCGACAGAGGGAAACAAATCAGGAGATGGCAGCAGCATCTTCCCAATGACTTAAAAAAGCCCGCTTGCCAAGCGTGACAAATATGGCAAATATCCCCCCTACGAGGCAATGTATGGGGGAGGCCTGTGTTCCCCAGTAGACTTAAATAGGCTGTAAGGGTAGTATGCACGTGTATTTATGTATTTACGATCATCATACAGAGCGATTTTGACGGAAGTGTACGTGTGTACGTGTGTGCGTCTATAGCGTACATGAGTGTGCCGGGTGTTTGTGTGGTTAGCATTGATTAAAACAAATAAGGTAACTATAGTCAACCAAATCTAAGAAATACCTTTTGACGTTTCACATTAAACATTACGCAATAACTTTGCACAGGCGTGCTCACACGATTTAAAATAACCTTTTATATAATCCGAAGAATTATGAAGTTATCGATATTTCATTACAACATGTATAGTTTTTTATCACTAATTTAAATTTGAATTTCTCAAATAAAGCAAAATGTTAAAAAATAACCAGTATTAACTTTTTTAACTTAACGTCGTTTCAATGACATGTCGCTATGCATATTACCGTAGTGTTTGGACTATTAAAATTCAGTGTTATGCGAATAATCGGCAAAATAATTAAATAATCGTTAAAAATATTCAAATATCGAATCATTAATTTCTTTAATGTATTATTTGTTTAGTTTAATTTTTATTTTCAAAATTCCTTAAATTATATGAATCATGAATAAAACTAGTTTATTTTTTTCACTTTGTCAAAGTAAATGTTTGTAGGCAATAAACTCATATACAAGGCCGTGCTAAAATAACCACTACATAATTTCAATATCCCGCCATTTCGGTCCCAGTTACTCGACTCCACAAAATTAGTAATTCATTTTTGAGGCAATGTATACACTTTTAAAACAAAATTCCAGAAAATATACAAAATTTGACGTAAGTATACATAGTTCAAAAACTTTATTAACACGCTCTCACAGAATACCAGCGTAATGCTGATGTATTTCATATAGTGAGTGTAGAGAACCGGACCCTGAGAAAACTGGAATCGAGGCATTCCATATTAGTCCTCATGGGTGACAACGCATTTGAATTTTGTTTCTTAATTGAGGATAAATGTGTATGTCTATGGGCCATAGCATCCACTTACCATCAGGTGGACTGTGTGCTCGTTTGTCACCCAATGATATAAAAAAATATTCGTTGAAGCATGTGCCTATGTCACAAAGGATGATTGGGCAAAAGTGGTAGTGGTAGTTTGAAAGTGACATTAATTTTGACTGCGGTATTGAAAATCAAATAATAATAATTAATATAAACAACGACAGCCCTACAAGTTGTACTGAAAGTGATTGAATAAATTTATTTTTAATCTAATTTCAATCTTAAATTTTTATAACTGTGCCTCAAGAAATAAGCGCTAACAACAATACGAAGAAACTGATAAATCTTGTGTTTTAAATTATCTGTTTTTAATTTATTCTGGTATTATTCAAACCAAACTGTAAATGATTACCAACTCTAAATAATCGATATCGATTTTTTTAAGAATCGAATATTTTACGTTCCCATTTTTTAGTTAGCATGCTTGGTGCAATAAGTCTGACAGCTGTCAAAAGGTATTTCTTAGATTTGGTTGACTATAGGAGTCACCTTTTGTATAAGATCTAATTTTTATAAGACAATATTTTCAAAATAAAATGACCAACCATGACTTATTGTGGCGAGTAGGTCTTACTTGTAAGTAAGTGTCAATGCATGCACTTTGTTTTAGTGTGCGGAAGCACGATTGTCAGAAATTACTATTGAGTACCAGAAGAACAGAAAGTAAATGGAGAAAAGTTGTTTACAGTGAAGTAAGAAAATGATTAATGATCATACTTAATACGGTAAATGGGACAAAACATACTAAAATATGAGGAAAATATTAGGTAAGATAGTCCAATTTAAAAAGGGATAATTTTAAATTAGCTTATTAATGCTACCTACAGTTAGGTACACAAGCAAACGTGTCCCACACATCACCAACACAAGTAAGACCCGTCCATTATCGTTATATAAACATGTTTAGGGCTTTTGGTGGGAACTTGACCGGCGAGAATCTTGAACCGACCGCCGTACGTACATATATCAAGGTGTGCACCTTGAAATACAACGTGTACCTTTGCCGCACTCGCCGCACATCTCGGTCTTGACGCCGGAGTGTATGACGGTGTGCAGATTGAGATACCTGTACCTTTGCCGCACTCGCCGCACATCTCGGTATTGACGCCGGAGTGTATGACGGTGTGCAGGTTGAGATACAACGTGTACCTTTGCCGCACTCGCCGCAGAGCTCGGTCTTGACGCCGGAGTGTATGACGGTGTGCAGGTTGAGATACAACGTGTACCTTTGCCGCACTCACCGCAGAGCTCGGTCTTGACGCCGGAGTGTATGACGGTGTGCAGGTTGAGATACAACATGTACCTTTGCCGCACATCTCGGTCTTGACGTCGGAGTGTATGACGGTGTGCAGGTAGAGATACAACGTGTACCTTTGCCGCACTCGCCGCAGAGCTCGGTCTTGACGCCGGAGTGTATGACGGTGTGCAGTTTGAGATACAACGTGTACCTTTGCCGCACATCTCGGTCTTGACGTCGGAGTGTATGACGGTGTGCAGGTTGAGATACAACGTGTACCTTTGCCGCACTCGCCGCACATCTCGGTCTTGACGCCGGAGTGTATGACGGTGTGCAGGTTGAGATACAACGTGTACCTTTGCCGCACTCGTCGCAGAGCTCGGTCTTGACGCCGGAGTGTATGACGGAGTGCAGGTTGAGATACAACGTGTACCTTTGCCGCACTCGCCGCACATCTCGGTCTTGACGCCGAAGTGTATGACGATGTGCAGGTTGAGATACAACGTGTACCTTTCCAGCACTCGCCGCAGAGCTCGGTCTTGACGCCGGAGTGTATGATGGTGTGCAGGTTGAGATACAACGTGTACCTTTGCCGCACATCTCGGTCTTGACGTCGGAGTGTATGACGGTGTGCATTTTGAGACACAACGTGTACCTTTGCCGCACTCGCCGCAGAGCTCGGTCTTGACGCCGGAGTGTATGACGGTGTGCACGTTGAGATACAACGTGTACCTTTGCCGCACTCACCGCAGAGCTCGGTCTTGACGCCGGAGTGTATGACGGTATGCAGGTTGAGATACAACGTGTACCTTTGCCGCACATCTCGGTCTTGACGTCGGAGTGTATGACGGTGTGCAGGTTGAGATACAACGTGTACCTTTGCCACACTCGCCGCGGAGCTCGGTCTTGACGCCGGAGTGTATGACGGTGTGCAGGTTGAGATACAACGTGTACCTTTGCCGCACTCGCCGCAGAGCTCGGTCTTGACGCCGGAGTGTATGACGGTGTGCAGGTTGAGATACAACGTGTACCTTTGCCGCACATCTCGGTCTTGACGTCGGAGTGTATGACGGTGTGCAGGTTGAGATACAACGTGTACCTTTGCCGCACTCGCCGCACATCTCGGTCTTGACGCCGGAGTGTATGACGGTGTGCAGGTTGAGATACAACGTGTACCTTTGCCGCACTCGTCGCAGAGCTCGGTCTTGACGCCGGAGTGTATGATGGTGTGCAGGTACAACGTGTACCTTTGCCGCACATCTCGGTCTTGACGTCGGAGTGTATGACGGTGTGCAGGTTGATACAACGTGTACCTTTGCCGCACTCGCCGCAGAGCTCGGTCTTGACGCCGGAGTGTATGACGGTGTGCAGGTTGAGATACAACATGTACCTTTGCCGCACATCTCGGTCTTGACGTCGGAGTGTATGACGGTGTGCAGGTTGAGATACAACGTGTACCTTTGCCGCACTCGCCGCAGAGCTCGGTCTTGACGCCGGAGTGTGATGGTGTGCAGGTTGAGATACAACGTGTACCTTTGCCGCACATCTCGGTCTTGACGTCGGAGTGTATGACGGTGTGCAGGTTGAGATACAACGTGTACCTTTGCCGCACTCGCCGCAGAGCTCGGTCTTGACGCCGGAGTGTATGACGGTGTGCAGGTTGAGATACAACGTGTACCTTTGCCACACTCGCCGCGGAGCTCGGTCTTGACGCCGGAGTGTATGACGGTGTGCAGGTTGAGATACCACGTGTACCTTTGCCGCACTCGCCGCACATCTCGGTCTTGACGCCGGAGTGTATGACGGTGTGCAGGTTGAGATACAACGTGTACCTTTGCCGCACTCGTCGCAGAGCTCGGTCTTGACGCCGGAGTGTATGATGGTGTGCAGGTACAACGTGTACCTTTGCCGCACATCTCGGTCTTGACGTCGGAGTGTATGACGGTGTGCAGGTTGATACAACGTGTACCTTTGCCGCACTCGCCGCAGAGCTCGGTCTTGACGCCGGAGTGTATGACGGTGTGCAGGTTGAGATACAACATGTACCTTTGCCGCACATCTCGGTCTTGACGTCGGAGTGTATGACGGTGTGCAGGTTGAGATACAACGTGTACCTTTGCCGCACTCGCCGCAGAGCTCGGTCTTGACGCCGGAGTGTGATGGTGTGCAGGTTGAGATACAACGTGTACCTTTGCCGCACATCTCGGTCTTGACGTCGGAGTGTATGACGGTGTGCAGGTTGAGATACAACGTGTACCTTTGCCGCACTCGCCGCAGAGCTCGGTCTTGACGCCGGAGTGTATGACGGTGGGCAGGTTGAGATACAACGTGTACCTTTGCCACACTCGCCGCGGAGCTCGGTCTTGACGCCGGAGTGTATGACGGTGTGCAGGTTGAGATACAACGTGTACCTTTACCGCACTCGCCGCAGAACTCGGTCTTGACGCCGGAGTGTATGATGGTGTGCAGGTTGAGATACAACGTGTAACTTTGCCGCACTCGCCGCACATCTCGGTATTGACGCCGGAGTGTATGACGGTGTGCAGGTTGAGATACAACGTGTACCTTTGCCGCACTCGCCGCACATCTCGGTCTTGACGCCGGAGTGTATGACGGTGTGCAGGTTGAGGTGCTCGCGCCGCTTGAAGCCCTTGCGGCACACGCCGCACACGTACGGCCGCTCCGGGTTGTGGCCCAGCTTGTGCCGCTCCAAGTGCTCCTTGCGCTTCAAACTGCACACATATACACAAATTTGTTATTATAAAGGAACTATAAATATCAGCCCCGTGAGTATTGTAAGAGATGGGAAACCCAAAAATATCATGACTTCCGACAAATATATAAAAATAAATTGCTGTGCGTTAGTCGCGCAAACTCGAAAATGGCTCTATCGATTTTGATGAAACTTTTTGTATGTTTGAGTGGGTACATGCATGGTTTAGATTCCAAAAAAACCGGTAGATGGCGCTGTTACCGAGATCCAGAAATGACCCGTGCGTAGCAGAGGCAGATCGCTAGTAGTGGTTAAATACCGCGGATATGTTGATTTAAACTATTTTGACGGATTTTATCGCGTTTAATTTACTTGATTTTTAATTCCTAACGTTTCGAATGGGCAAATCTTTGTTACAAAGAGCACGAGGAATATGTGACAGCAAACACCTGGCCGCAGAGCTTCAGCACATCGAAGGTTCTGCACGACAAGCCTCGGGTTCCGCGCCTACGTCACAGAACTCCGCTCTATATACCCTTTAGACAGGAGCACAGCAGTGCAGGAATAAGCAAGAGGGGGGGAGGGGTACCAAACCAAACAAATACCTTAGCAGAAAAGGAGCTCTACCACTTAGTATATCTACATCCTCTTAACCACAAAGCACATAGTAAATCAGTCCTTAAAAATTGTGATTTTGTTTTCCATTGCTATGTCTTTACGTCTTTACGTGGTAGAGCCACACTGCAGCTATAATGGTTGTAGCACGAATGGGTCGGCACGACCGGGGACGTACCACGCTCTCACACAATACCAGCGTAAAATAGCAGCTTATTGCTGCTGTGTTTCGTATGGTGAGTGTAGAGAAGAGAGAGTAATAGTAGTCCTCAAGGGTGACAACGCATCTGCACTTTGATTCTTAAGCGAGGTTTAATGTAGATGTCTATGGGCCACAGCAACCACTTACCATTAGGTGGACTGTGTGCTCGTCTGTTACCCTCATCCTATATAAAAAAAATATATTTGGTAACAGCAAAGTATGTAGTTGAAACACCTGCTGGCAAGCTATTCCACACTTTTGCTGTGTATATTACAAAAGACAATGCGAATCTCTATCACCTAATGGAAGTAACTATGAAATGATTGCTTGAAAGGATTAAGCCCAACAATGAACATAGAACAGCTGTAGAACTCACCCGGCGCCGCAAATGCCGCAAATGAACCGCCTCTCAATCTTGTGCACTATGAGATGCATCTCGAGCTGCTCCTTGACGGGATACGCCATCTGGCACTCCGGGCAGCAGAAGATGGTCGTGCCGTCGGATGCTGTCGCTATCACAACTTGCCCGGGCTTCGGACGCGCTGGCTTCGGTGGCTTCTTTTTGTACTTCTTTTTCTTTTTGACCCTTAATACTCCATCTGTGGGACCACATAATGAAATCACTAATTAAAAAATATAACTTGTAATATAATTTTAGTGAAATTTATATGGTGTTTGTTAACAAATCTCTCTCTCTTTCCAAATCTAAATTTTATTTTATTTTCGCGGATTTATTCATAGCCTCTAAAATCGCAAAATGTACTTTCGAGTAATATTCCATTAAGTTTCAAAAACCAAATAAAAGTTCTAACTAAGTACTTTTCATTATTTTTATAATAGAAAACAATGTAAGAGCTAGTCTTATCATTAATTGAATGGAATCTCGTGCCACCATATGTTTATTAACTTAGAGAATCAGTATAGTTAAATATTACCATCGCCCAAAACAGCCTCGGCCCCCGTGCATTCTTTATCTTCTATGGTGGGGGAGCTAACTTCCATCTGTAATGGGTCTTTCTTGATCTCAGTTGGATTTAACCGCAGAAATTGCTGGAGGGAAACTGGCAATGCTTGTGTTTGCTACAATAATAAAAGTGATATTATGTATTTACCATGATACTGACAAATGAAATCCGTAATTAAAAATCAATTACAAAATTTGCACCGAACAGACAAACAAATAGGAAAGCAAGTTAACAAAACATATTAAAAAATTTACCTGTGGTGGCAGCTGATTGAGATATTTAAGGAGGTCTTGCGAGGAGTTGCCGAGTTGCCAAGACATTCCTTCACTTGTTTCCGTGCCTTGAGAGCTTTCCTATCAAAATAGAATATAGTAACGTCACAGTATTTACTTCATGTAAAAAGATTCATACTTTATATATTTACAATAATAGTAAGATTTATATAAATACTCACATCATCATTATTATTTTCAACACACTCCTCCTTTATAACAATTTCAACAGAATTATTGTTGTCGCCGCTTGTATTGTTGTTGAGAGGCTTGCTGTCCCCCGGATTACCGATAACAATTTGATGGTCCGGAGTAATATACACCTGGAAAAAATAAACTAATATAAAAAACAGAAAATTTACTAAAAACATACTTCATGATTCTGTTGACGTTCAAATTTTGCTGCACTTATAAAGAAGAAAATCGCTCCAAATACGAAAGTGAAATTCGCATTATAGCATTGTGTGTAGTGTTGTGGGTAGATCCGTGTATGAAGTTATACCATCAACATCTTGCTGAGTAATAAAACATTTTTATCTTTTCAACAACGTATCCTATACCTTTAAACAAGCAATTCTTGTATATATATATATATATATATATATATATATATATATATATATATATATATATATATATAAATATAATCTGAATCTCGGAAACTACCCCAACGATTTTCATAAAATTTAGTGTCCAGGGAGTTTCGGGGCAATAAATCGATCTAGCTAGGATTTATTTTTAAAAAATGTCGTTTTGTCCGTGTTTTCAGGCAATGAAAAACTGCTACATTATAAGAAGGTAAATTTTGACACTGTGTTAATGATCGTTATAGCTCCAACTTTTTCAAGTTCTCTTCTTTTGTGAGAAAATCTATTATTTCGAGCCCTTTTTTTAGTATTTTTTTAAAAATAGTAAAATTTAAATTAAACTAATTGCACTCATGAATTTTTATTTAAATAACCTGTTCAATTTTTTCTATTATCAATTTTCTCTATGTCAATAAGATCAAAAAAATATTATTCATGTTTCATCAGTATGTAATTTGTATCTAAATATAATTTCCAAAACACACGATTTAAAAAAAATACCGAGGAAAGCTCGGTCATCCAGGTACTACAAATAAATGTTTCAACATACATAATACAAAATGATACATTATCATCATTTCATCTATGATTCATCAATTCATTCAGTCAACGGCTGAACACAGACCCCCCTATTGATTGCCTTGTAGGGAGGCATTTGGGCATAGTTCCCACACTTAGCAGGCGAGTTGGCCACCGCAACTTTCCTATTTTCGATTGTTATTAGAAAAATGCTGCGGTCCATCTCCTGTTTCAGTTCCCATCTGTCGCCTCTTGCGACAGCTAAGGGATGTAAAGTTTTATATCCTTTGTCACTCCCTCAATTACGACCAATGTAATCACATGTTACATTCGCACATCATGTTAGAATCCATCAAGCCGTTTGGGCTACAGAGCGTGCCAAAGACGTAGATATATATACCATTTTATGTACATATTATCACATATACATGGTATTTTCTTACTTGGTAGAGCCATGCTGCAGTTTTATTAATAGTATAGTTGTAGCACGAATGGATCGGCTCAACCGGGGAAGGACCATGCTCTCACAGAATATCAGCGGAAAATAGTAGCTTAATGCTTCTGTATTTCCTATGATAAGTGCAGAAAACCGGAGACCCTTTTTACTGGAAACAAGGCATTCTATCTTAGTCCTCAAGGGTGACAACGCATCTGCATTTTGCACTGCACTTACCATCAGGTGGACTGTGTACGTTTGTCACCCTGTCCTCTAAAAAAAACACATATTCTCGAAAAACATTACCCACCTTCGGGGGCAGTCTGGTGATGCAGGTGGTAAGAAGGTGACCTTGCTCTACCCAACAGCAGAGCGTTGTTTTGGGTCGTTACTTAAAGCCACACAAAAATAGAAACATTAAAAACACATAAAGATAACATACCTGATGCTGAACATTTTGTTGCATCTGATCCTTGTCCTGAGTCTGTGTTGGTTGTAACAACTGCATCTCTTGTGGCAATGCAAGCACTTGAAGGCCTAAGATTGAGAGATGATGAATGAATTTTATTCTTCTGACAAGTGATATAGTTAGGGTTGCCACCTTTTATTAAAGAAATATAGTATTATTCCCAAAAGGTTCAAAATTATAATATTACTTTGAGAAATTCAGGAGAAAAAAGTACACTTTTATTTTTAATCTTAATGTATTTTCCATATACCTGTATTTGTTATAGCTCTTTGCTTTGCAATTTAGATTCATATTAAAATAAATTAACTTTTAATTAAATTTATGAAATTAAATACATGCTCCATTTCTTTCTTCTTTCAATTTTACATTCATGACAGAAAAACTATTTACGTAAAAGTTACTTGTTCCAGATTTCTTAAAAAGCGCGACGATTAAATTAAGGATAAAAATATAGTATTTTCGTACTATATTATTTTTCTATTAATATATATGATACAATTGACTGATATATAGCACAATTAATATATATATATATATATATATATATATATATATATATATATATATATATATCATCATCATTACAGCCCTTCACAAGTCCACTGCTGAACATAGGCCTTCCCCAAGTAATGCCACAAAGCACGGTGCTGAGCCACCTGGATCCATCGACTTCCTCCATGTCTTACCAGGTCGTCACTCCATCTAGTGCGGGGTCGCCCTACACTACACCTACCGGTACGAGGCTGCCACTCGAGAACCTTTCTTCCCCATCGGTTATCGGTTCTTCGAGCTATATGGTCGGCCCATTGCCACTTCAGCTTACTAATCCATTGGGCTATGTCGGTCACTCAGGTTTTACTGTGAATATCCTCATTTCTGAGTCTATCACGCAGAGAGACTCCGAGCATAGGGCTCTCCATAGCTCGCTGAGTGACCTTGAGCGTCCTCATAGGGCCAGCAGTGAAGGACCACATCTCAGATCCGTAAGTCATCACTGGCAATACGCACTGGTTGTACACTTTAGTTTTCAGAGGTTGAGGTATAAGAACCAGCCGATTTGAATCCGTCGATTGACCTCTCGGTCGAAGTTGGACTTACCTAGTCGGACTATTTGTCCCAGGTAAACGTCAATAAAAAAAAAAAAATATATATATATATATATATATATATATATATATATATATATAAAATTAAAAGTAAAATTTTGAAATTGATTCATTATTCAAATATCATCACTATCGAATTATCATTCATACTAACAATAAGTCTTACAACTTACGATTATGGATTTATAAGATGATATTGTCAAGTAAGGTCATGGATTTATCGATAAATGTTTATATGCTTTTTGGCATGCATGCTATGCCATGTTTTTTAATATATTGAGACCCATGTAAGGCCAAAGCTCGGGCCCTATAGGGACGTAGATATGCATATTTATTATTATACATTATCATTATTGTGGTAGAGCCACGCTGCAGCTTTACTATGGTTGTAGCATGAATGAGTCAGCTCGACCGGGGAAGGACCACGCTCTCACAGAATACCAACGTAAAATAGCAGTTTAGTAATGCTGTGTTTCGTATGGTGAGTGTAAGCCCGGACCCCGGAGACACTTTTTTACTGGTAACGTGGCATTTCATCTTAGTCTCTTCTTTTATTCTCCCCAGGTTTAAATGGTACTCCCTTGATTTCGATGTTATTTGATCGAAGCCACTGATCTTTTACATTAATTTCTGCTTCCATCTTTATGTGTTTCTTTAGAGATGATATTTTTTGCTCAGCATTTTCAACTACTTGAAGTCTTTTTTCAAAGCTATCAAGCTTTTCTAGCATATTGTTATTAGATTCTCGTAGGTCTGAAATATCGTTTTTGAAAATTCGACTATCATTGATGATTTCTTGAAGGGGCAGTAATTGGCACGAAAGCTTCTGCAGTTCGATCATAAAATTATCAGGAGTAGGTTGACGTGTAGTTTTAGGAAGTGGTGACCCAGGCCGGGTTAGTTGTTGAGACGTCTTACAGGAAACACAGCGCCAATATGACTTTTTATCTCCTAGCTTGCGATATCCAATTTCAGTTAAGTTAAGTTTCAATACCCCAGAACATGGGTAATCAAAGAAATTACGACAGGCAGCCCATTGAATGGCGCTAGACACTTCCTCACAACATTTACCACACACCATCTCATATTGAAGTTAGTATGAAGAAAATAATCTATAAGTTTGAGAAACACTTGGTAGTGGACATTGTCAATGGTACTTATATTTTTACTAAAACGTTTAGGAGCGAAGTATAGACGTGTGTCTATACTTCGCTCCTAAACAAATATATAGAAACAATATATTCCATAACAATAACTTGAAAAATGAAGGAAATGTAATGTGGTGAATCACAACAACATACCTTCAGGTAATGAGTTTCCCAACAATTGAATGCCCCCATTTTCGTTGTTCTCCGGCGAATACGCCATTGTCAGCACAGCACCACCTTTCAAACAATATGTCCCTTTTAATTAATCAGTTGTGGCTTAGTCAAGTGTACTGAAGTACTAAATCGCGGATAGAATAGCTGCAACTCTTAGATTTCCAGGTCTATTAGGTCACAATGCAAATGTTCAACACTGTATTTCGGCTACGCATCAACACCGAGTAAGGATATAGATTAGTTTAACAGGAGAGCAAGGACACAGAAATCAAGGTGGTCTTTTAAAATTTTTAATTACATATATTAAAGGATTTAAAATATTTAAATACCGGGGTTTTAATATGGGACCGCGGGCCTACCTTAGATCGCAAAAGTTACATTGTTGCATATCGTGCATATAGTGTACTATTAGCATTATTAGCATTATTATATATATATATATATATATATATATATATATATATATATATATACAATATGTAACGTAATTAACGCACACCCTCAGACACCCCAATTAGTATATTATGTTATAATCATAATACATACACTGAATTTTTAGTTAAAAAATTTTATGCACTGATTATTTATCAAATTAGTTATACTAATTCCGGAAGAATGTTGTGGTCACAGTACAAATCCACGAACGCAAAGACTTTAACGAGCTTTAAATAAAGTTCATTTTTCTTTATTTTTATTGAATTACAGAATTAGTCATAATACAAATAAAACTGCACTCTTAAAAGTCTTATTGCCTTAGGTTACGGTCCATTTCAGTTTGTTTTGACTGTACAGATTTAGTGTGACTGTAATTTACGTAGTTTTAATTATTTTTGGGATAAAAAATTACCTATATTAAAAATGATAGAAATCGATTCAGTAAACGATTCTGAACAAACTACTTTCTCAAAGTGCGTTAATTATGTTACGTGTTGTATATATATATATATACTGTATGACCTTTTTTACCGTCAGAAAAAAATAGGGTGTAACATGTGAATGGAGTAGAAGCCACTGATATTTGACAAAAAATACAAACAAATTTTAAAATTAAATTAATTAATTAAAATCTATCGAAATTCAAATCATGTCCAACCTGGACAAGATCAAAGATGCCTACTTAATTTATTGTTTTATTGCCGTTCGTAAAGTAGGATATGATTTGAATTTCCCTAGATTTTAATCGGTAATTTTTTATTGAATTCAAAATGTTTGTTTTTATTTTTTGCAAAATACCAGTGCCATAGGCTTCTACTCTGTTCACATGTTACACTCATTTTTTTTTCCAGACGGCAAAAAAGTCATCCAGTATATCGTCGGTCGAAAACAGTAGTGGAACATCTCTGAAAATTTGGTTTTTAACTTTTTAAGAGTGTTACATTACCATTTCAGTGCCAATTCTGTATCAGTATCGGAATAAGTCAAACTACACATAGAAGTCAATTAAAAATGAAAGTTCCACTTCTACTCTGTGCATATAGTATTATTCAGTATTGGGACACTTCGAAATGTTCCAATACGGTTCCAATCTCAAAATCAAAAGTTGAATTAAATTTATTCCACCACGCTTCTCGATCTCGCTCGAGTCTCGCGCGCGTTTGTTTAGTTACGCGCTGCATGCATGCTGCGCTTGGTAGACCGTATTGTCAAAAGTAATACAATCTGCAAAAATTTCTGTGTCTAAGTTATATGGAAGATCAATGAAAATGTTGCAAATGGTAATCCATGAAGACGCCAATATTGAAAACAAAGGTGTGTATTCTATTTGTAACGTTTGTGTATTTTGTAGAGTCGTTACTTTTAAAATTTTGCACGCTTTGGCTATATTTTTAACCACTTTTATTCTACAGAAAGTGAGATAAAGCAAGTTGAAGAGTATTCTTTGCCACAAAATGTACAAAGTCTAGGTAAATAACTTATGTATTTTATAAGATATGCTTATTTATTAACTTTTGTGTTTTATATCTAATAAATGTTATTAAACATTCTGTCCTATTAACTGCTTTTATTGCTTTTAAGATGCTGAACAGACATTGAACATAGAAAAATCTCCAGACACTATTTTTATATCTAATAATAATGAAGTTGGTGGATACAGCAATAAGTTAAAGAGAATCCTTAGCCTCTGAATGAAGTACATAATCGAAGTACGTACCTATCTTCATGTATTTAAGTACATAATAGAGCTACCTACGTACCTTATTCTTGTGTTTTGGTATAGTGTGTATATTTAATGTTTGAATTTCTTTTAAGGTGTAGAGCAGGCAATAAATATGGAAAGTTGTACAGACGATAGGTTCGTAGCCAGCCAGCATGAGCCAGCAAATAAAGCTTCTAATCTAAGCATGATTTTTATACTATTTTAATAAACTAGCTTGCTGCCCATCAACATGTATTTCATAGTTCTAAATTATTTATGCAATAGCTTTATACGAGGTCTTTGTTAGCTTAGGTGGCGAGCTTATTGAAATTTTAGGGGGGAGGAGAAGATAAAGAAAATAATATACTAATTAACAGATAGCCGTCACCATCAACCCCGCTTTCTAAAAATAATGCTTCGGAAGAAAAGAAGAAGTTGACAAGAAAGAGACAACGAAATCACAAGGCATGGAATAAAAATAAAAATAAATGTTTAAAAAATTCAGGTATGGCTTACACTACTGAGAAAGGAAAATTAGTTAATGCTAAACAATTAAAACCTGGTTGTGGAGACAAATATCGGTTGAAGTGTACACTGAAGATTAATGAGCAGCAAAGATTAGTAATATTCAATAATTTTTGGATATTAGGTGATTTGAATAGACAGCGAGATTTTGTCAAAAATGCTATGAAAGAAGTAAAGCCGAAATATTCGCTACATAATGCTCAGAGTAAAAGATCTATTAATGCGGCTTATCATTTAACAGTAGATGGTATAATTATAAGGGTATGTAAAAAGTTCTTTATGCACACTTTGGATATTGGGCACTCATTTATAACGACGGTATGTAAGAAACAACATCATCGGGTATAGTTTTCGAAGATTTAAGAGGTAAGCATAACAGGAAAGGTAAACTATTACCTGACTTTGTTAAGGATGCAGTCCGTGAACACATAAACTCATATCCTACTAAGGAATCACACTACTGTCGAGCATCATCAAATATACAATATTTTGATGGTGATTTAAATCTATGTATGATGTACAGGCAATACAAAGAGTGGTGTAATAAAGAAGGTAAGCCTGAAGCTAAACAAGGAACGTATGAAAACATTTTTAGAACTGAATTGAATATAGCTTTTCATGTACCAAAGAAGGATCAGTGCTCTCTATGCTGTTCTTACAATAATGCAACAACAGAACAGAAACAGGAAATGGAAAAGAGTTATAAAGATCATTTTACAGAAAAAGAGCTTTGCAGAGAAGAGAAGAGGATAGATATAGAAACATGCGAAAATGACAAACAAAAGATTATTTGTTGTTATGACATGCAAGCGGTTCTTCAAACTCCAGCGGGTAATGACTCGCTATTTTTTTTTATAAGAGACACCTTAATGTTTATAATTGTACCGTATATGACATCGTTAATAAATCTGGACATTGTTATTTATGGGACGAAACTTTGGGTGGAAAAGGATGTGACGAGGTAGGATCTTGTATTTTACAGTTTTTCAAAGAGTTTTGTCATGGAAAACATGTTATATTTTATACCGACAACTGCTCAGCACAAAATAGGAATAAGTATTTATTGTCATTATACTATATTATGCCTTAAAAATGTTGGGTGTTAAATCTATAACACATAAATACTTTGTTGTCGGGCACACTCAGAACGAGGGCGATAGGGTTCATGCCACTATTGAAAGAGAAAAATTCCGAATGTTAAAAAATGGTTCCGTGTTCGTGCCATCTCAATGGAGTACAATTATACAATGTGCTAAGAAGAAAAGTAATCCCTACCAAGTTCATGATTTAGATTATTCAGAAATTTTTGATTTAAAAGAACTAATTTCACACTTTGGGAAAAATTTTACAATAAATTCAGAAGGAGAGTGTGTAGTGTGGAATGATATCAAGAAAATATTTATGCATGCTACTAATCCTTTCGCTATTTATTACTTGGACACTTATCAACCTGACAATACAATGAAATGCTTCAATATTCGGCATAAAATGCGGGGCAAGCCTAACAACGAAACATAAGTTTTGACAAATAAATATCGCACTCGTCCTGGAATATCAAATCTTAAAAAGAAAGATTTGATTTCATTATGTGATGGTAAAGTAATTCCAAGCGTTTATTGGGATTATTATAAAACATTGCCAGCTTCCTCTTTTAATTGTTCCCTTTTTATAATTTCTTACTTATAAATAAAAAAATGTTATAAAACTATAAAAGTGTTTTATTAATTATTCTCTAAAAATGCAATTATTTGCTAAGGTTTTCTAGATTTCATTTTTATTTAGGTGATTATTTAAGAAAAATACATAGTTTTTTAATTCAGTACTGGTACATTCAAAAATATTCCATTATCAGAGGGATATTTGCAGTCAATAAATTAATTCAGTAGTGGAACATTTCAAATATTTACTTATACTTAAAAAACAAATAATAAAAAATGAATGAATTTAATAGAAATCATAAATGTAAAGTCTAACCAAAATATAACAACATTAAAAACAATCCTTTTTTTCTCTAAACACTTGCTAAATGGAAAAATAAGTATTTCTAATTTTTAATTGCTCAATATCTCACATTTACTCATTTTGAAATGTTCCACTACTGTTTTCGACCGACGATATATCGAATGATCTTTTTTACAGTCTATATATATTGAGTGATCTTCTTTACCGTCTGTCGATATTTTACAAAAAATAAAAACAAAAATTTTGAATTAAACATTTGAGAATTTTTTTGAACAATTACTTTTACCCTTTTAGAGCAAAATAAATATTATTTATCACTGGTTTATAGGATTATTTTAAAATTCAAATGCTAAATAACCCTACTACGGTAATGGTTCTCTTTCTATACATACTCAAACGATCCAACATGGAGTTTGAACCTGCAGGGCAATTATTATCAGTTACTTTGGTGGGAATCGTTGTCAGTGGAATCACACTGTTATAAGTTTTTTATAAGTATTTTTATAATAAAACTTTGTCACCATAAGTAAACTACTAAATTTTGTGTCACACCTTTCGATCAATTCATTCACATCTGTGTTCGGCAAGTTTTTATTTTACCATATTACTCGTGAGTGGATACAATCTATCATGAATCTTCAATGATTGTTATTCTTTCGTACCTTGTTGAAAGCCCTGTATTGGTATTTGCATTTGATATTTAGGCTGCTGTTGTGCCTGTAGCGTCAGATTAGGACCTAGAACTTGTATCTGCACGGTTTGCTGAGGATCACCTGTTAGACCAAAAAACATCAAATTTAACTTTACTTATATGAATTAGTAACTTAGTGGCAACACATAAAATTCATGGAAAAGAAAGATTCTCACAGGTATAAATGGACTTAACTAGATAGAGTACAACTTTATGAAAGTAGTCTCAGTGCATGCACTTATCTTCAGCAACGGACTATGGGACTATAATGATGATTACATTTGAATGAATTTTATTTTCATAAAGGTGTTAATAATAAAAACATTTAATTATATTACGTACAACACTTTAGTTAACATTTTTCAAAATCTGTAGTTAACTTTTTAAGAAAAGAAAGAAAATTAAGATGTACTTATCAAAGGGACTAAAACTACAAGTACTATAGTGCTAGTATAGTATATACTGTACTAACTACTACTATAAGAGGATTTTTTGAGGTTTTATCCAAAACATAGATTTGCGTTATTTTGCACAACAATTTTAAGGTACCTAGGCAAATAAAGTATATTTTTTAATTTTGCTTCAAGAAAGATAACAGTTGTTGTGTAGTATAAGATTAGAGTAGTGAAACTTTGTACAAACCAGGCTTGGCTCCTGGTAATGTAATTGGTACAGAAATAAGTTGTGGTGTGCTTTGCAGTGTAGCGCTGCCATCCAAGGCACGTACATATTGCACTCCTTCGGGCAAATTAACTCCACCAACCATACCAACAACCTGAAAAGAGTTCAAACACATTTTCTTTGACATAGGAAGCAAGGAATTTTAAAAAAAATTAATGAGAGATTGTTTTAAGGGTGTCTATTATAGAGTCTATGTAATCTTCCTGTCATTTCCCTAAGTTAACTACTACGACACCCATGAAATAAAATTATATGATATCAGTCATCAAATAACTTGAGTATTTACTTTTTTTTAGTAAATAAGAATAAAATGGATCATAAGCTTGTAGAATCATTACTTTTTATTATTCTTGTAATTATACCTGTGAGAGAGAAGTGCCATTATTTGTAACATTCTGCTGAAGTTTTGTAACCGGCAGCTGTCCGCCAGTAGTCACAAAATGAGTCCCACCACCTCCCACAGCTGAGAAAGCAGTGAAATTCATCTCCGAATCTTCTTCACTGTGTGTGAAATGAAATTACATTTTATATTAGGAATTCTTGTAAAGTATCTTGAAAATTATAATATACTATATAACACAACAGTCGGATATTTGCTTTATTTCAACTGAAAGTTGAAATGGTAAAAAATCTAAATTCTCTTAATCCTTGAACAAGCCAATCAGACTTACTCTACTCAATTTCTCTGTAAATTTTCTAAATTACTTTACCTTTTAATGATATTTATTAATAAACCATTTATTTATAAAGTAGCGGTAATATACTATAATATTTTTATGTACTTGTCTAAAAAATTAATAAGAAATAGATTAAATAAATATGGTATTATGATAATAAACATATTAAAATCTATAATGCATGTCAACTTGCTTGATTTCCAAAATTGTCATACAATAGTCGTACATACAGCAGTATGTGTGAGCATGAAGTAGTATAATTGCTTTAAAAATTGTTCTAAGTTATTTGTTTACATAATTATTTTTGTTTTAGGTATTTAAAATATAGATATTGTAATGATATAACATACATTTTTAATGAATAAAAATTCCTGCTAAATTAATATTATATAATATCATATTCATAAATTTAATTCAGATAAAGTAATTGATTTTAAAGCTAATTCTGTAATACATATTGTTTAAAAATCATGTTAAAAACATGTCCCCATACCAAGAGGCATCCTCTCTTGTGGGCATTTTCTGCATGTCGCACATGTTACACCCTCCTCTTCGCGGCCGCCAAAGCGGGAGAAAAATAAAATTAAAACCACTGTCCCACTTTCATCATTCGGTAACCACCCGCGTATCCCCACGTCCCGCGGTCCCACCACTTTTCGCCACTACGGGACTACACAGGGAACTAGATGGTAGGGCACATACTACTATTGACCACCGCACACTACACTACACTAAAATTACTTTCAACAATGAGGAGAAGCAAAAGATGTTTGCAAACTACTACTACTAATAAGAAAGTGGGTTAAAGAAAGTTTTTTATGCTGGCTCGATAGTCGACCAGCAAGTTAGTTATACACACTAGCAGCCAATTTGATTGTATGTGTATATGAAAATATAGCTCTAACATGCTCCTCACTTTCTCTTTGCTGTACTTTCACAAGACTTACGTGAAGTGTGGTTGTGGTTCAGTTGATGTAGGAAGCCTGTTCATTGAGTAATCGTGTGGTTGCATAGCTTGTGAATTTAAATACTATAATTTAGTTTTTATAAATGTCTGCTTATTACAACTGGCCATAAATAGTGTGTCAATATTTTATAAAATAATTAATTACTGCATCTCTCACAATGTTTTCTGAATATGTTCTTAATATATTATATATATTATGCTTAGTACCTATATACAATATTGAAAACTTTGTATTTTGTATCTAATACATAAACCATAATTACCAGGTACCAGTTTGTAAAATAATGTTAAGTAGGATACAGTTACAATCTCTTTGCCAGAACAAATATTTACTTACTTGGTAAAGTGAAAGTAAAGTTATTAGTGCCAATAGCTTACCTATTTATAAGTGGTATTGTAGATGATGTAAAAATTTATAAATAAAATTTAAATAATATTATTAATAAAGTTATGTAAGTATACATAGTCATTTTTATGTTTTTATTGATGACAATATACCTACTCTAGTGAGTAACAGGTTTGTGAACAAAAATGCGAATACGAAACAAAGGAATAAGAAACTAAACATGTTGTACTGCATTTTGAATAATTTTAGTTACGCAATTACCAACAAATATTGTAAATAGTAGGTACGATTTTTAATTCATAAAATTGTTTCTGATCCACATGTTCGTGGGCGGAACCAGACATAGACCGAAGGTTGTTCACCCCTACCAGTTTCTTTTGCCAGCGTCCATCACGAGCAGCGATACGCATCCCCACCAAGGTGCGGGATCCCCTCCATATACTTTTGATACAACACCAAAACACTCCCGCTCCCGACTCCTTCCTCCACCAACAGGAAATTCGCGAGAGGAGGGGTTGTGCGGCCTTCGTGCGCGGCACTCTCGCCTCAGCGCTCAGGGACAGCCACGCGCCCGTCTAACGGTATAACAAAGTACCGCTACCGAAATAAGGTCACGGATTTTTACATACTATACGCAAAAATATATTATAACACATACCTCGTATACAATTTCTCTTCGGGCTCATAAAAATTGATCCTTTTGTCCTACTTAATCAAATTATTAAACATAATTGCATTAAGTATCGTAAATACAAAGTTCTCTCACTAAACAAATGAAATCCGCCATTACTATTACCGACGTTTAGAAAAGTTAGCACCAGGTGGCGCGCAAATCCTACTACGTGATTGGGTACCTATTATGTTTTGTGTTGATTGGCGTAGTTTCGAAATTGAACATGATAATCAACTGAACAAGTTAACTAAAAATACGATATTATTAGCTAGCCATTGTTGTAAATCGTTTTAAGAATTTAAGTTAAATAAATTAATTTTATTTTGAAATCTGTTAATTGGTCTCTTGTCAATGCTCATTTTTAAAACTAATTATTAATAATCAAGTAAATAATTCACAGAGTACCAACTTAATCTGTATTAACTACGCATTATTTTATTACTATGTTAAAACTTAGAATTTAATAAAATAGGAATTCTCATAATAAGGTAGCATACTTTTTTTATAGGATAGGGTGACAAAGGGCACACAGTCCATTTGATGGTAATTGCTGTGACCCATAGACATCTACATCTATCCTCAATTACGAATCAAAATGCAGACACATTGTCACCCCTAAGGACTAAGATGGAATACCTCTTTTCCAGTAAAAAGTGTCTCCAGTTCTCTACACTCACCATGCGAAACACAGCAGCACTAAGCTGATATTTCACGCTAGTATTCTGTGAGAGCATGGTCCTTCCTCGTCAAGCCAACCCATTTGTGCTACAACTGTACTACTAATTTAGCTGCAGCATGGCTCTACCATATATGAAATCCTACCCTACAATTAGCAAAGGATGGATAAAGGATAATGACAAAAATGTATGTTGAAAACAAGACAAAATTGAAAATAAGTTTTATTTCTACATGAAATCATTATACATTACCTAATTTACCATACAAATATGTGCACTCAACTAAACAACATTAAAATGCAAATCAAATAGCCTTTTTTTTGTTTTATTATGTCTAGACTAACATTATAAAGTAATAGCTATTATAATACAGGTACACAACTAATACATGCACTATCCCCATACAAATATTTTTCAAAAAGGAAACTGTTGTCCTGATCGCTGTATTCTTTCTAAATGCAATTCGAATAATAGCTTATTTTCATAAAAGTATCTACTCTGAGATGATGTAACTCCAGGGTCATAACTAGGCCTTCTTTCGGGATTCTGTAGATGGCTTGTAGACGAAATCATAGGTGTTTCGGTATTAGCACTGTTGCTTATCCCATTAACGTGACTGAGTTCTGCAGAGCGACTAAGAGGTTGGTTGGAAAGGTTGTTATTTATGTGCAAGTTATTTATTCTCTTAGAGAGTGGCATGAATTCACATGTATCTTCTTCACGAGATCTTTTCCTAAAAAAAAAAAACACTCATCGTAACATAAAATATACACGGGTCTTCTGGTTAAATAGTAGTCCTCAGGCGATGTACTTATACCTGTTTTCTGTCATAGTTCTAAATATATAATTCCCATTACTCCCAAGGTATGTGTTCCAATTAAGCATGGAACTCCGTCCAAAAGTCATCGGCTCCTAATTACTTTTGCTATTGTGACAATATTTATAAAATATAAATGTTTATTGTAAATATATAAAGTATAAACAGCAAAGTCTAACAGAATGACAGTACAATACATATTTATTTATCTATGGTACAATTTGTCAAAAAAGTGTTCAGAAAAAAAACTGATAATTAAGAGAGAAAGGTTAAATTTAAGAAAAATAAAAAAAAAAACATGAAAAACACAAAAACAACTTTTTTCTGCAAACGCACCCAATGACAGTGAGAGATAATAACACTTGACAGACACTATACATGCATTCTTTTTTATTTATTAATTGACTTTACGGCTCTGGTTTCTAGACCTTCTGAGCCTATCCTTTCTTTTGGAATTTTCATTTTATGTTCCTTTTCTTCACAATATGCTGATGCGTCACATTGCGAAGCCGTTGAAAGATTTTGACGACAATTCAACCTAGCGAACAGTTGATGACGACAGCCACTCAAGTTCATAAGGCGCCCAAGCGATCAAAATAACTTGAGGTTTATATCGACATCAAAGCACTTGTTTCGTCGTTTTCTCTAATAGTTTACACGCGCGGGCTCTTAATTCACAAAATCGCATCACTTTTACGAATCAAAATCCACTTCAAACCATTATTCAAGCGACAAAACAGGAGCGACAATCAGCACTATACATGCACTATACCTATAGACATGGAGGTTAGAGAACAGGAGAACGATCACAACGTACTAAAAATAGTCCGCCTGTCCTTGAAAATTGTAGAATTTATAGCGGCGCTGACGTCGGTGAGTAGTGACAGCGAAGTTAGCTGTTTATGAGTACATAATAATTAGTTGAATAATGTATGAATTTTCTTCGCGGCATTGGTGAGAAAATTTTCATGCTCCGCAATTTTGTAATTTTTGACATAAAGAACCATAAAAAAATGGAGAAATATTTTATTGTGCGTGGATGTGCAAGTGGTTTAGCATCTGATCGGAAAAATAGACTGAAAATGACTTTTATTGAGCGAACTTAGCGATCGCAGCTCCTCACTTATGGTGTCCATATTTCTTGGACACTATTTTCTACGGCTATCGTTCTTCTGTTCTCTATCCTTCATGCCCATAGACGTCACTATACCAACAAACATCACAATAAGCACAAGCCAAAATGATCCAAAGAGTATTGTATAGATACAAAATATGAAAGCAACTGTTCGTGTGGTTCATGTGCGGAGAAGTTCTAAAAGGAAAGGAACCGTATCAGCAAATTGTCATCGTCACTGGAGATATAAGTAATCTGAAGATGACAATAGTTCTTTTCTCGTCCAAAAAGGATAAATATACTCAATCAACGATAAAACGCAGCCGAAGAAGCAAGCAAATTAAATGCAATAATATTGAATTTTACACGATTTGCGACTTACATCTTACGTGGCCACTTCAGTGTGTCTCGCTTTATACAGTGTGTATTGGCATAAAAATGCTATTCACATAATACAAAGGATTTTTCATTCATTCTAGGAAGGCAGGTTGGCACCAGCAATTTTTTATTTTCTAGTTGTTAATCTAAAAATAATACTGTTAACCGGGGGTTTTGGCGAAAACTTGACCGTCGATGGATTGTTCCTCCTATTTTATTGTTTAACCTTTTCAGCGCCAAAGTCGCCTATACTTGACCAGCACCTGCGGGCCCTGAGCGCCAACGACGTCTATAGTTGACAAAAGCCCGGCCCACAAAAATATGAAATATAGATATTGGAAAATTATTACTGGTATTTTAATTCTACATTCCTCAAAAAAGATTAACCCAGCAACATGTGAGTATAAAAAACAAGTCTCCTAGAGCCACAAGTACTAAGAAACATTGAACCTACAAAAAATAGATTTTTATCTAAACAAATGCTGTGTCCAGCACGCCAAAGTCGTCTATGTTTGGCCGCTAGTGTTGTAATGCGTTAGGCATAGATTTATTGAAAACTATTCAAAATTAAACGCAAACGTGTTATTTTAAATTATTATTGATATTTAAATAAAACAAAAGGTAAGAAACACAAAACTATCATCAGCTATATAAATCAAAGAAAATTTCATCAAATCAATTTCGCATAATAAATCTGATATCACAACTCTGGCGCATCCTTAGCGAGTCATCGATTATCAGGTCATTGGGCGCCGTGGTCAAGGGTAGACGACACCCTGATGACGTCATAAACGAATAGCGGAAAAAGTAGGGCAGTGCAATATGAACGATTCCTCAGAACTCATTTTGGAAAGCGTCGATGATGATGATTTTTTTATTTTAATGATATAAAATTACAAATAATAAATGTTTATTTTTTTCTTAAGGTATGAAGAGCAATTTTTCATTTTGTGTTGTGTGATTTTCTTTCTCAATCTCAAAATCATCTGGTAGCATCAGCATCATATCAAACCCACATTCCATTGCTGAACACTTCGTCCATAGCAGGTCTTCCCTTAGTTGGTATCCGAAATTAATATTTATTGAAATCCTTAAGCAATAGTTCGGCCGTTCAGAGAATGCGTTTCTGACACCTATCAGTTAGTCACGACTAGTGATGGGCACGACATAACTCTGAGTTCGTTACCATTCCTCCAAAATGAACCGCCGCGTTATTTTTAAGATTATTTTCGTTTTAAATTGGCGGAATCATTTAAAATTTATATTTTAGTAATTTAAGTGGAAACCAAAAAAAGGTAAAATTAATATAATAAAATTGTTTTATTCATTCTTTGTTACAAAGTTACAATCTGTATTTCTATGCAATAAAGTACATTGAATTGAATGTGCGTACAGAATATTAATCAGACTCCGATTCGCTTGAGGAAGTGGTGTCTTCATCATCATCTTCGCCTACATGTATAATTATATTATTATCAATAACAGAATCAATCCTGATATCTCGGTCAAAATGTTCCACAATCAGGTTTTTAGTCTTCTCAACAACCTTTGCCCAGTCATATCTTGTGACTTCCCCGCAGGCTTCTTTTAATAGGGTCATCATCTTTTTTCGTGCTGAATAGCGGGGAAGTATTGTGGCGGGCGGCGTAAACTTTTATTTGAGCCCAGATTAACTCAATCGCGTTATATTGGCAATGATACGGTGGAATTCTTAGAACGCGATGACCGTACTCCAGAGCCAGTTCATCGATTTCGTAGCGCACATTTGCCGCTTTATTTTCTTTAACTAATTTAATCAGCTCTGATTTTAGTATTTGCATATTTGCGTCAATGCCTTTTGCTTGTAACCAAGCCACCATTTCTTCTTTTTTTATTAGCTTGGGTAGGTGGTTTCTGTATTTGAACCGAGTGATAGGAGGCTATCCATTAATATTACAGAAGGCTCTGGTAGGCTGGGCAAAAGCACGTTCTGGAACCAGTCTTTAAATGTAGTGGCATTCATTTCCTCGTGGTAGTCATTTGTGGTTTTTGATTGAAATGCCAGTAACGCGTTCTCCACAAAGCCGTATTTTGCAGAACCTGCGTGACATATTTTCAGACGGGGCCCCTTACCCTTTCTTATCCCATTGGTACTTTCGACGTCGACGCTTATGTTATATAAAAAAGATTTATTTTGTAGCATCAATGAGTTATAAAAATGAAAACTACATTATATAAGCTACAAATTAACATTAACAGCACGAAGTCACCATATCGGCAATTATTTTTTTTTTGTACCTTAAAATTGACAAGTGTAAGTGGAATAGAAGCTATCCTCGAAAGAATTTGTATAATATAACTAAATAGGCAAAATTTCAGAATATCCAAATATATATGTATGTATATATATATATATATATATATATATATATATATATATATATATATATATATAAATAAACTTACATATTTACTAACTACACTGATTGGTAGTTAAAAAATTGTAAAAGTAGTATACATTATTGTTATTTACAAATAAAAATTAACTTTTTAGCGATATCGCAGTAATTGTTCAAAATGTCTATCGTTTCCTTCTAAGTACAAACTAGCACGTCCTTGTAAATTGTTTGTTAAACTTCGAAGCGTGTCTCTATCACTTTTCATCAAATTAAATGCGTCTATTATACGCTGCTTTAAATCGCTAACACTTTGTGCTTCTTCTGTGAACACTAATCAATCTAAATCAATCAAAAAAAATAGAGGTGTTAGGTCTGGTGATCTCTCCGGACAGTTCACAAGTCAACCGCAACCTATCCACCTATCACCGAGTTGGCTTTCCAGATATGCGCGCACAGATCGTTCGTTTTCACCAGACAAGACATAAAATCTCGTGATTGTTAAATACTCGACATTAGAATATTGGTACATGTTTACGATACACACGTGGAAACATAATCAATACGACAGCGACGCGACGTCATAAGTAACTTAAATGAATGTTAAGGGCGCGGGCGGCTTTGCCTTTGGGCCTCTGACCTTACGAAAGGACTGACAAAGACGCCTACAAAATTTTTTGTTTTACTACCGCTCGTAAAGTAAGTAGTATGATATATATTTAAAAAGAGATTTTAATTGTTTAATTATTTTATTCAAATTTATTGTAAAATATCCGTTACATAGGCCTCTACTCCGTTCACCTGTTACACGCTAATTTTTTTCCAGACGGTAAGAAAGGTCATCCAGGGTTTATGAAAATGTAATGTTACGTACACAAAAATGAGAGTAGTTTTACAAAAATAAGTGATATCTATTCTGTAAATACAATTCTGCAGACACAAGGTACCAATTACTCGAATCCACCAAGTCAGTAATTCATTCTTGATGGCGATGATTTTACAACAAAATCCAAGAAATCAAAAAAAAAAAAAAAAGCCTTTTTTTTTTTGGATATAAAAAAGAGAGTGTTTTGCGAACCAGTGGTAAATTAAAAAATAACTTTCAATAAGTTTTATTTATGATTTTTATTGAATAAAAAAGTTTCTG